TGATATCGCTGTAATCACACCCTCTCGCTTCCCACAACCACAGATCTGTTCTTCCGTCAGTAAGGTGTCTTTTTTAAATGGCTGTCTGTTCATATCACTCCCATCCTTAAAACCCTTCTCTGACATCCCAGTGATGTGAGCTGGGGCCCTTTTGAGCAGCCTCCCCTTTCACCATTCCCTCCTTGGCACCCATCCACTATCACTCTTAAGATCTGGCCAGATTGAACGTCTCTCTACTGCTTTAATATACTATTTTCATTCCTGATTCCAGGCCTTCTCATATACTACTCACTGTGTATAATGCCTTAATTCCTTCTCCCAGCCTCTGATTCCTTTACTGGGCTCACTTGGATCTTAGCTTGAATGCCTTTTCCTCCAGGAAGGCTTCGCTATTCATATTAAGTTGACTGTTGCTATTAAGTGCTTCCCCTTTCAGAGTACTTATCACACATGACTGCAGTTGTATTATTCACCCTTGTTTCCTTCCAGACCGTGAGCTCTGAGCAGCAGGGGCTATGCCCATCCTTGTTTTGCTGCTGAATGTCTGGGCCCCAGCACCTAGCAGGAACTCAGTCAATAGGTTTGAATAAATTAATGTATGCATTTTGTGTGTACTTGCAATCTACTTCTTCATCAGCCATGTTTTAATGGTTTCAGTTGCAGAACGAACATGGAAGAATGTAATTCATCTCTGGTGGTAGAATCGTCTTACCCAGACTTGGTCATCAATGTAGGAGGAGTGAATCTTGGAGATGGAAACCGAAAGATGCTGCAGGAAACACAGCGAGAACAAGAGAAGGCAAGAGTTACGCAGGCTGTGTGTGCTTTATTAAACTCAGGAGGAGGAGTGATTCGGATGGAAATGGCAAACAAGGATGAATGTCTTGTGGAGCTGGGACAAGATTTAGAACAGTCTTTGAGAGACCTTATTGAGTCTTTAGATTTGCAGGCTTTCTTTGAGTTCAAGCAACAAAGGAGGCGTTTTTACATTTTTGTTAAGTCTTGGAGCAGTGAAGACAATTTTGTGAAGCCCCGCATTTGCAGTCTGAGTTCTTCACTATACTGTAGATCTGGCACCTCTGCACTTCCCATGGATTCAAGAGAGGCATTCGATTTCCTGAGGAAAAGGAAAGCAAAAATCTTGGGGAAAAAATCTTCTAGTGAAGTTCTCAGTGTTATAAATCAAAACCTCAATAATTCGGATCCTGCTGACTTAGTTTTCCAGAAAGGCCATCTTGAACATGGTGAAATCTTGCCTTTTCCTAAGTCTCAATCCGTAGAGTTTAAACAGTGCACTGAAGAAAACATCCAAGACTATGTAGCAACCATAATTCCACAGTACGTCTCAGCATTTGCAAACTTTGGAGGAGGCTACCTTTTTATTGGAGTGGATGATATGAGTAGGAAAGTCCTGGGATGTGCAAAAGAAAACATTGATCGTAGCTCTTTGGAAAGTATAGTAGCAAAAGCAATTGCCACATTGCCCGTTGTCCACTTTTGCTCTTCAGAACCAGGGGTGCAGTACAGCACCAAAATCATAGATGTGTTTAAGGGAGGAGAGTTGTATGGTTATCTCTATGTGATTAAAGTGGAGCCATTCTGCTGTGCAGTGTTCTCAAAAGATCCCAAATCATGGATGGTGAATGACAAGGACATCCGCAGCCTGAAAGCCAAGGAGTGGGTAGGCATGATGACAGATCCCAATCCAGGTAAGGGGGAGCAAGTCCCTCCTTCCCTGTCCTCCTGCCTCATCAGCATCTCCATGTCCTCCTACTTCCTCTGTAACTCTGAGCTCCTCACACCCACTCAAATTTACTTTCTTTAAATCTCCATGCTTTTCATATATGGGAAGGTTTTATTGGGTGAGAAAAAGCCAAAATCAGATATTTTGTGAATGGTGATTTATCAGAAAAGTAGTAGTAAAGGGAAATTTGGAAATGGATTCCTTTATTAAAATCCTCTAATTGGAATGTGCTAGAACCTCATATTAACAATTACTCTGTACCTTACTTTAGCATGAGATGAACTATCGGAGTCAAGAGCCAGTGTTGGGTGAGGTTTGTTTGATTGGGGTTAGTGGAGCTACATGTGCAGGAATATAGATCACATGGTGATTAGCTTTTAAAAAGAGAGTTTTTTAAGTTCCACCATAATTCCAGGAAAGACCTATTAGAACATGGAAGAGGGAGCATTATATTGAATAGGGAAACACCATTCAAGATTCAAAAGAAGGGCTTTTTAATGGTGGATCTTTGGGAAGCTTGACATTGGGTCAAGGAAGGGTGAAGTGTCTGACTTTGGGGCCTGATTGTACCATGTGAAGTGAAATTTAGGCACAGCTTTCAATGGCCTATTCCGGTGGTGGGGGATGAAATCCTACAGGGTAAACTGTTCTTTCTTTCAGAGTTACTTTCAGAGTTGGCTGAGGCTTTTGAATCTCAGCTGAGCCTATCCCACAGGCCTCCGCTTTGCCGACCGGTGTATTCTAAGAAAGGTCTGGAACATAAAGCAGATCTTCAACGACATTTGTTTCCAGGTACTAACTGCCAGTTTTTACATTAGGAGAAAGGGAGATGATTTAATACAGTTGGTTAAAAACAAATTCGTGAAAGACTGTGTTCTTCAAATCCAAGTGTATCAAATGACAGTGCCACAAGCCTCCTGGGGATGAGTTTCATGTACCCTTAGAAATAGCTTAGTGGTTGCCAAATCTAACTGTTTATCAGAAATATTGTAGGAGGTGGTTAAACATGCAGTTGTCCAGGTCCCCACGAAGAACTTACAAACATGTAATTTCCAGGGATGAGGCCTGGGCATGTGCATTTGAGCAAGCTTCTCCAATTCTTCTGATGCTCTGCTGGGTTTGGAAACCACTCGTCTGGTGCAAGTGTAGGCAAACAAGGGGGCACTGTGGAATACTTGACCACTACTGTTCAGCTTTTCAGAGATGGAAGAATCATATCCGTAAAAAGAATAAAAATGTTCACCTGGTAGAATATAAAAACACAGAGGAACCACAAGTAATTCCTCTTGAAGGGGCTAGAGGGGATGAGTCACCAGTGGCCCAGAGGAAGCGAAAAATAGTCATTCAAGAGCACGTACAGTGTTAGGTAAACCTGTTTCCCTGCTGCCCAAATATTTTTTCATGAAGGTTTTGTCCTTTACTACTTAGAAAAGGAAACCTCGATCTCTAGAAGAGGAAAATGGCTTGTTTAACTTCACACACTGAACATATTAAATGTGAGATCTGACAGCAAAATATAACATGGAAAAATGTCCTATGTGTACCTATGTACATTTATGAAGGGCCTGAAAATTAATATATTAGGTCTGCCTTAGGGCCATATTCAACCAAATAGTTTTCTTACTTACATGAAATCTTTGTAGTCATCGGGTTATCAGAAAGGTTTTTTTAACATTCCACGATAAGAATTTCAGATACAGGAGTGAATACGTATATAGTTTTCCCTTCCTCAGGCTAAATAAATTCCATTTTAGTTGACAGACTCTACTCTCCCTGAGATACATAGAAGGCAAACGTCATTTGACCAGATTTACAGGGTGTGGGTTGAAGAGAGGTGCACCAGAAGGAATTTCTCCTAAATTGTATAATTATTTGGGGGGCTTTACTATCCCTTCCAAATATGTGATTCATACAAGATAATACAAAAACAGTTTTACAATGTTTTCTATTTTTTCCATATCTAGTGGCATCAGATCATTTGAGATACACTCCCGAATCCCTCTGGAAGGAGCTGTTCTCAGAGCATGAAGGGCTGGAGGAGTTAATAAACAGGCAAATGCGTCCTTTCTCCCAGGGAATTTTGATCTTCTCCAGAAGCTGGGCTGTGGACCTGAACTTGCAAGAGAAGGAAGGAGTCATCTGTGATGCTCTGCTCATAGCACAGAACAGCCCCCCCATTCTCTACACCATTCTCAGGAAGCTGGAGGCAGGGGGGCAGGACTACTGCACCCGCAAGGCCTTTACTTTGAAGCAGAAGCTGGTGAACATGGGGGGCTACACCGGGAAGGTGTGTGTCGTGGCCAAGGTCCTCTGCCTGAGTCCTGAGAGCAGCGCAGAGTGCGTGGAGGGTGCAGTCTCTCCGATACATTACCCCAGGTCCTATAGCCTGGCAGACACCCAGCAGATGGAAGCCTTGCTGCAGGCCCTCGTGATTGTTCTGCTCGGCTTCAGGTCTTTCCTGAGTGACCAGCTCCACTGTGAGGTTCTAAATCTGCTCACAGTGGAACAGTATGAGCTATTCTCTAAAAACCTCTGCGAGAACAGAGAGTTGTTCGTCCATGGCTTGCCTGGCTCAGGGAAGACAATCATGGCCATGAACATCATGGAGAAGGTCAGGAATGTGTTTCACTGTGGGACAGATAGAATTCTCTACATCTGTGAAAATCAGCCACTGAGGAACTTTGTCAGGTAAGCAGTTGGACCTTATGTGTGTAAGTGTTATTTAATCTGGGTTACTTTTACCTGCTAAATCACCATGTTCCTTGAGAATTAGGTGGTAAAGTGACTTCTGGCAACAGACTCTGTTCAGGGCAGCACGATAGAGTAATCGTCTCCCTGTTTGTTTGTTTTGTGTTGTTGTTTTATTCAGGGAAAACCTGAGTGTCTTATTTTGATTTTTACAGTAAGAAAGACATCTGCCAGGTGACGACCCGGAAAGCTTTCATGAAAAATAGCTTTGACTTTAAAAATATTCAACACATCATCATTGATGAAGCTCAGAATTTCCGCACCGAAGATGGAGACTGGTACGGGAAGGCAAAAACCATGACTCAGAGAGCTAACCCTTGCCCAGGAATTCTCTGGATCTTTCTGGACTACTTCCAGACCAGCCACTTGAGTTGCAGTGGCCTTCCCCCTCTCTCGGGCCAGTATCCAAGAGCAAAGCTCACCAGAGTGGTCCGCAATGCAGAACCAATAGCCAACTACTTACAACGAGAAATGCAAGTAATTAGACATAATCCCCCACATAACATCCCCCCTCGGTTCCTGGGGATGATTTCTGAGGTTGAATGGGCTCAGGGTGTTCAGGGATCCTTAAAAATTGAGACGAACTTGCCCATTCAGGCAATGTTTACCTACGTGGCAGACACCTGCAAGTGCCACTTTAGAAAAGGCTATTCTGAGAAGGATGTTGCTGTGCTTGTGAGCACCACAGCAGAAGTGGAGCGATACAAGCATGATCTCCTGAGAGCACTGAGGAAGAAAAGGATCATGCAGCTGAGTGATGCATGTGACATGTTGGGTGACCACATTGTGTTGGACAGTGTCCGGCGATTCTCAGGGCTGGAAAGGAACATAGTATTTGGGATCCATCCAAGAACACCAGAGTCAGCTATCTTACACAATATTCTGGTCTGTCTGGCTTCCAGAGCAATACAACACCTATATATCCTGTGGAATGGTGACTGTTAGGAAGAACTCCAAACCCAGATCAGATGAGGCAATTCCTATGTAATCTTCTGTGGGTGAAAGTCTGTTTGCTAGTGGCAGAAACTTCTTTTTGGTTCACAAGTCAGGTAGAGATTTCAGCACAGAATTTGGAACTCCTCCTCCCCTCTGGCTCTCCTTTCAGGGATTCCTCCCTCAACTCTTTCCAGCAACTACGGTTGCCCCTCATTCTGTCCCCTGATTCTTCCAGCCAGACAGTCGTTGGTAGGAGCTTTAGGCACCCTGTACAATGCAGACTTGTGCCCTGTAGTCTGGGAAAAGCCATAAAAAAAGAAACGGTGGCTTTTCTTTCTGTAGGGAGGGAATGCACTGCATGTGTTGAGAACAAAGATTAGGACACGTTTGGAGAAAAAGTTTATTTTACTTTTCAAGGGAGGACAGCACAGGGCATGAAACAAAGAGAAGTGTCTGCCCAAGGGTAAGGGGTCCTGGGTTTTTATTGGGATAAAGGGAAAAGAAGAAAAAAAAGAATAGTGATTGTTGTAAGCTGATAGCAGAAGGCAGCTCTGAAGCCACTGTGTTTCTTTTTTCTTTTTTTTTTTTATTGTTTTTATTTCTCTTCTTTGTGAGGCTGGCTTATCAGTTTCCCTTGAATTTGGTCCAGGGAGATGTGGGGAGGGTCGTGCTCATTCTATCAGTTCAGTTCTTTTCAAATGCTGTGAAAACAAACCCTTAGAGCCAACCTGTGAAGCCACAGGTGGTTAATCAAACAAAGGGGCCATGTGGGGCTGTGCTCTTACTCTCTTTATTTCTGTTAG